CTCACTGTGGGCATAGCACGTACGTACATGTCATACCTGGCACCAAGGGGTTAAGAACATTCTACTTATGAACATTCCATACATACAAACAAAATTTTTTAAGTACTAAAGTCCAAAAAATTGTTTGAAAAATGCAAGCAAACTTCAAATTTCCCTGGGCACGAATATAGTTCAAGAGTCTGGTACTGTATAAGGTATGTTGTACTTATTGGGATTTATTTACAGGTATTCTTAATGTAAACAAAACTTTAAAACAATGGGAAAAAAGGTAATGGAGACCCGACTTTTGACATACAAACAAATCAACTTACAAACAGCCTCTCGGTCCCCATTATGTTCTTAAGTTGGGGACTTACTGTATATATATAATATATCCCACGAAGTAAAGCACAAAGTCACAAGGTCTATTATATTTCCATTCATTCATTCCCTCATGTTAATGCAGGTGGTAGAGAGAACCCAGTCCATGAGGGCATCCGCTCGTGATGACCGTATCAGAGAATACTACTATGGGTTGCGCACCAAGTACCACCCACACAGTTTTGAGGTGAAGATGAGCACACTCCAGATATACAAGATTGGTGCTCCAGCTCTCCCTGATTCCTGCATGCCAGCTGATATGAAGGTTGACGATCACATGACCAAACTTGTGCCTGTAGAGCCTAGTAAGTGGTGATTTAAATTTTATTTGCATATGTGTTTGCAACTTTGAAGATAACTAGTTTTGAAAAAAATAAAAAATCATCTATTCCTTTTTTTTTCTCTCTTCCTTTCTTTTTCTCTTTTTCTCTTGGTACAGTGTGTAAAACAAATATTGGAAAAAGGATAAATCAGAAAGTTTATATTTATAAATTGGTTTTGAAAGGTATGAGACAGGATAGCTACATATTAAATTTTAAGGTACTGAAAAAAGATGGGTAGCAGCAATTTTGTTGATGATATCATGATATCATGGCGCATTCTCAATGGCTAAACACAATGATTAGATCTGCCCCTTTTCACAACCACTGATCTTAGTAACAATTTATGTAAGTTAACTGTTTCCCCATAATATTTTCATGGAAAATGGTTAGAGAATGACGATGGTTAACAAAGATAAAGAGACCCTATTAATATTTGCAGTTCATGGCAAGTGAGCATGCCTTAACTCAGCAGTTGCCAACTAGGATTTTCATTGAGAAAGGGTGGTACTACCATTCTTATGAATATCTTGTCAAATTCAGTGACGAGATATCACATGGACTGGAGAAAATCTAATTCTTCTATACATATATTACTTTTTCTTTTGCTTTTTCTTTCAACAGGTGTAAAGTTAAAGCATCACATGTTGGCTGTAAGTCTTGCAACAGAACCCGAAGACCTCTTGACCTCAAACGTCGCAGGATTTATTTGCGTGTAAGCTTGAATTATGATTTTGGATTCTAATAATGTTAGAAAGTATTTCCAAATTACCATGCTTACATTTTTGTCATTATGAATATGTGCATACATGTAGGAGAGAACTGTAAAGATAATGATGTTAATGCATAATAGTTATTTATTTCTAGATAAGTTATAATCAGGTTTTCGGTTATTGTGCATTTACAGTTCGGCAGTAATAATCCAGTACCATTTCTCATCCTCAGACTCGACGTTGACGAAGACCTCAAAGTCATGAAGGTCTTGTCTCCACAACCAAAGCCACTCCCAAAAACAATTTTGATTTTGACAGAAATTCAGTTCATGGACTCGTCGTAAAATGAAGAGTGATTTTGTATTGTCTTTGTAAATCATGTGGTATTGTACTTTCTTTATCTCTTTTTTTTTCTATTTTTATCATGATTTCTGCAGATTTTTGGTGTAACTTATAAATGTTTATTAAATAAGTATTTTACAAGTTTCATTTTGTTTTATTTGTGATCCTTTTCAAACTTCAGTAGATTTTTTTTTTTTGCAACATTAATAGTTTTTTTTTTTTGGGGGGGGGTCTCCTTTTCCAGTACAGGCATACTTAGAGCCAAAATCTCTTAGACCTATGCTGCTGGTGACTTCAACAGCAGCAAGGGGCATTGAAGTCACTATAGCATGTATGAAGATTGCATACCATCAAGGAATGAAGTTTCTCAAGAGGCCTAAAATTCCAAATTATGATGAAAGAGTATGCTAAAGAACTTATTTTAGTCTTGAAATAATGATTATCTGTATACTTTTTTTGTATATATACTGTTGTGTGCTGGGAATAAACACATTTTCTATTCTTTGTATTATGCCTAAGTATGGAACTAACCCTAAATGTAAAGAATTACATTTGATCATGACTTTAACCTTTTACTGATTTTTTTTTCTTTATCACACAAGTTAAAGTACAAATTCAGTATGTCTGACAATTTTCTCCTTATAATGAAAGAAAATTTTTAATATATTATCTTGGTCTTGTAACTGCTGGAATATTTGTGAATTGTAATTGTTTGTTTGCCATAGATTAACCCATTCGCGCCTGGCGTCACGTATAGGTGACGGGCCCACTGTGAGTTTACTTGTTTGATTGTTTACAAACATAGATGGCTCCACTTGCACTTGTACTGCCTGTCTCGTCTGTTTACCCTT